CACAGGGCTGAATGGCCCTCAAATTGGCATTGGGAGCTGCCCTGACCTGTCCTTTGCAACTGAAGCCCAGCAGGTCTACCTGGGACAGAGCTTCGATGACACCACCAGCCTATCCCTGGCCCCTTCCCCACCCCCACTCTGGGTGATCATCTGGCTCCTGTTTGACCCCTATCCCTACACAGGTCCAGCTCCGACTGCACACCCCGCCTCTCCTCCTCTCTAACTGGTCCAGCCCCACCTCACACCTTCTTCTCCCTGCCCACCCCAGCTAGCTCTGTATGTCCTAGCCAATCACAAGCTGCATCCCCATCACCACTATCACCCTCTTCTTTCACCCATCTCTCCACCCCCTCCACTTCAAGGCTGTCCATTTGCTGACCCCAGTCAGACCTGTTAGCTGCTGGCCCAGTTGTGACTGCGCTCCTCTGCAACAAAATCATGGTGAGCCTCTCCTCTACTCAAATTCAAAGTCTCTAACAGCATTTCTGTGGAGGGTTCAGGCTCAGTCTCCTTTCCCCACTTCCCCTCAGCATACCTGGAAGACCAGCTCTACTTCTGGAATTCCCACCCCAGGCCTATTGATGACCACACCCACCCCACTGAAGGCAGGTTCTGGCCCCCCTAGGAAGCCTTCCCAGGCCTTTCCAACCCACAGTGACCTCTCCTTCCTCCAACTCACAGCCACTTATTGTCTGCTCCAATCCTAAAGCAATGAATCATAGGCTGCCTTGGACACCGCCCGCCTGTGTTGTTCTTTCTCCCGGCAGACACCAAGCATCCTGAAGGAAGGGGTAGAACTTTGTATACTCACTCCCTCAACCCCCACCCATGCGGCTTTTCGAAGCCAGGCCCAGAATAGGTGCTCATTCATGCATTCAACGAATGCTTATTGGGCACTTATAATCCTGGGTACAACAGTAAAGACTGGCCCAGTCTACCACGACAATGGTTCTAGCAAGAACTACCTGTCAATTTTGTTGGGCTGCCTCTCTGTACCCATTTGGCATATGTTAGACAGCAGTGGGGAGAATAGTTGTTATCCGAAGGCAAACCTCAGCTGCCCACTTCCTGTTTTTTGTTGTTGTTGTTGTTGGTAGTGGTGGTGGTACCAGGGATTGAACCCAGGGACACTCAACCACTGAGCCACATCACCATCTCTTTTTAAAATTTTGAGACAGGGTCTCGCTAAATTGCTGAGGCTGGTTTTGAACCAGCAATCCTCCTGAGTCACTGAGATTATAGGCATGCATCACTGTGATGCCAGGCTGCCCACTTCCTGTTTACGTGACCTGGAACAAATTATTTAGAGCCTCAGTTTTCTTATCTGAAAATAGTAAAGATACTACCTATTTCCTGGAAGGGGGCAGTTTGAGAAAATATAGACTGACTACCTAACCCAATGTAAGTACTTAATAAATGGTCTCTGGAAGTACTCAGCACAATTGTAGTTATGTCCTTCTTTGAAAAACTTGCTAACCTCTGTCACAAGACAGTAAGCAGAGTGGGAGAGTCTCTACTTTGCTTACTTCAACATCTTCAGCGCAGTCATACCGGGCCAGCAGCTGACAGGTCTGACTGGCACACAGTAGGCTCTCAATAAATAGCTTTCCAGGGACTGGTTATTTTTACTCAATGACTATCTGCTAATCCTGGAGCACTTGATCACGGGTTGTTTAGTTGACAACTTGCATATGATTCCCCGATTCCCTTTCTCCACCTAGGGGGCAGAGCAAATGCTCCTTGAATGCATGGTTCCTTACACATTTCAAACACTTCACCTCTTCTGGGGAGACTTCCCTAAACACAAGCCCCTCCTCAGTAGCTCCTCAGTATTAAAGTACTCAATGTGTGTGAGGCCATTATCAAATTAGTGTCTATGTTTATTCTCAGCTACAATCTTAATCTCTTTAAAGGAAGGAGGAGTATATCTGATGCTCCATTTGGATCTGCCCTCCAGCCACATCCCCTTCATCTGCATGGACCTTGGCAAAGAGTTCATTTTATCATTTCAAGTCCCAACCCAAATCCATCCCCAAGGGACTGTCTCCAAAGAACCCCATTCTCTCTTGGGTGCCTTCACCTGGCCACCACCCTCCTCCTCCACATACACAACATGGGATAACTGTGCAACCCTATTCTCTGTGTAAGCGTTGGCAGGTTAGGGGTTAGATGGGATGCCCACGGGAATGACCCTGAACCTTGCAGAAAAGAGAAATTTCACAGTAACTGCTTGCCTGTACTCCCCCTCTCCAGATCAAGGTTACTTAACCATTCAGGCAAACCTTTAAGAATTTTACAAAAACCACAGATTCAGTCTTCAACTTGGGACTTCCTCCCCATCTCAGGGTCAAATACCTGAGACCTCTTAGGTAGTCCCCCCTCCCCCGCCACCCCACTATTTCTCTCACCCTTAGAGGATCTCTTACTTCCAGTCGGCAGAGATAGAATCCAGAAGGATTACAGTATTCGGCTTCCAAGTTAGAACCAGGAGAACCACAGGGTAAAATGCAAGACAGGGAAAGCTTGGGGTCAATGTGCAGGGGTGTTCCTGAGATTCAGGAAGAGTAGAGGAATAAGGGCCTGGAGTGAGTCTTCCCCAGATTGGACGCAAGAGTTGGGAGTGGTAAACTCTGGGAGAGAAGCAGAACCTCTCAAGGTTGAAGCACCTGGAGAGTTCTTTCAAAATAAGTATTATCTGGCCCCACCCTTAGGAATTTTGATTGGAAGGTGGGACCGGGAGAAACCCCCAAGGCAATTGTGATGCAAAGGTCCCAGACAATCTGGGAACAACTCTGGGATACAATAGATCCACTGAGTTAAGAAACTGAACACTGGGGGGGTGTGTAGCTCAGTGGTCAAGGGCTTGCCTGGCCCGCACCAGGTCCTGGGTTCCATCCCCAGCATCAAAAAAGAAAGAAAAAGCCTGAGGCCATACAAACTCTCTCATCACCACACCACCATCATTGAGCACCACGATTACCATCCCAGCAGGCAAGGTTTCACTAAGGCACGGCTAAGCGTTTCATACACAGGATCTCATTTAATCCCCCCACCCTCTGAAACAGATAATATTCATTATTACAGCCCTGTCCCCGTATTACAAGTCAAATTGAGACTCAAAAATATATTAATCGTCTTAGGCCAGAGAAACAGTATGAGGAAGAGCTCGGATGTGAGAAACAGGGCTTCTTCAAATACCAGAGTCTGGAGGAAAGGCTGGATTCAGGAAGGGAATCAACAGTAATCCCTAAGGCTGGAAAGGGATGTTTATTGTGTTACCCCCACCTCCACCCCAGCACACAGGAACCTCAGCCCTGTTGCCAACACTGCCCACCATCAGAACAGAAAGGGAAGAGGAGGCTAGCCTTCTAGGATTGAACCCAGGCCTCCCAGGCTGTTGTGGCTCATTCAAAGGTCCATCAGGATATAGAAAGCCAGGTGACTTTCCCTTCCTGGGAAGGGCAGGAACAGCAGTTAAGTGGCCCTTACTCATCCCTGCCCCCACCACTTCTGAACTTTGTCCTCTGCAGTTGGTATGGGGAGTCGTTAGTCTCAGCGGTGGCCTTTGAAGCCACTGGTGCCTTATCTGCCCTTCCCCAGGCTCTGGCTGCCTTCCTGGGCAGGGGTGCTTCGCATTCACCCAGTGGCATGGGTGTCCAGGGGACTAAGAAGCCAGAGCTTAAGCAGGGACAGACACAGGGACCCATCTCCCTCAGGAGCAGAAGAAACATCAGGGGTATAGGAGCGACGGATGAGGGGACAAGAGTCCAAGGAAAGTCAAGGGGACCTCATCTGTATCCATACCTGGGAAGGGTTGATGACAGAGGTTCACCTGAAACCTTCATTTCCAGAGTTTTTGCTGCATGCTATGACCAGAGAGCTATGCCAGGTCAGGCTTTGACACCTCGGATGCTCCCTGTCCCCTGCCCCCAGCACTATTAGACAATAACCACTGCTTCCTCAGGCAAACACCAAAGGAACAGAGTGAAGGGTAAGCAAGTGAAGCTGCATGGGGTGGAGCTGTTCAGAGGCCACCCACAGCAAGCAAGGGCACGGCCCTCAGCTCTTTCCCCTCTTCCACCACCCTCCATTAGCTTCTGCAGACGTCCAGGCATCTGTTGTTTGGGGCCAGATTGTTTGTTTGAACCCTCACTTCACACTTCCTAGCTGTGAATTGTCTTTTCTGTACCAGTTTCTATACAATGAAATGGAAATTGGGAGTTATTTGGGAGGATTAAAGGAGATCTGGTGCATCTAAAGTCTATTATATTTGTAAAGGTCAGACATAAAACAGTCTCCCAACTCCAGAATAGAGCAGTTTATTTCCAGCATCGGGCACATAGTAGGTTCTTGTTTGTTCAACGAACAGTTGGCAAATCCTATAAAGGTAAATAAATATAATACATATCTTACTACTGCATCCTTTCCACTTGCCACAGGCCCTGGCAGATAGAAGATGCTTAATCTGTTGAACAGAATTGCTCTCTGCAGCACCAACTATCCTTGCTCAGGGCAGGAGCAGCCCTCACCCCATCAGAAGGGCCTCCTCCTTCACTACCTCCCCTTATTCAACCTTCATTCCCTTTTAGGTCTTCCCCACCTTTGTAGGCCCCCTTCCTGGCTTTCCACCCCATTCTTCCTAGTAATATTCAATGTTTTTTGGCCAGCTTCTCTGCAGAAGTAACCACAGTAGAAAGGGCTCTGGTAGGAGGACACCAGACCAGCCAGACACCCTTTTCCAGCGGAAGTGCCTTCAGGAATTGGGAACTGGGGATGGAAGGGGGAAGGGGAAAAATTAATGCGGCCAGACCAGAACTGAACCTAGGCCTGCCCTCTACCACCCTGCCTCTGGTCATCTCTGGAGGCCTCTCTTCTCACGCCTCTTTTCTGGATTCCAGCCCATGCCCTAGTCTAGTTATTACAGGTTTCAATCCCCTCAGACTCCCACGTCAAGAACGAAGGTAACACCCACTCATCCCCACACACACCCAGACCTCAGGGTTCTCACAAACACCTTCTGGCAGCTCCCTAGGACTGACCCAGAGCAGGTGCTGGAAGGCGCCCTGCGTCTTCCGGCACGAAGTCCTGGCCTCTGCTTGCTCGGGCGGCCGGGTCCGCACCGCTAGGGTCAGCGGGCGCTCCCAGAACACACCCAGCGTACGGAGTGTCTCCTCCCAGAGGCAGCTGAGCCAGTGTATAGTTGGGGGACCGCGGCGGCTCCTAGGGTTCGAGTGGCCCCGCCCCCACCCCAGCGGCGCCGGCCTCCTGAAGCCTAAGGCGAGGCCAGGCGAGCGCGCAGCGTAGTGAGAAAGCGCCTAGGCCAGCCGGTCACTTGCGTCCCCCGCCCCCCGGGCGGCCGCGGGGAATCCCTGCTCCTTGGCATCTCCGGCCTCAGCCTAGGGTCCCCCGCAAGCCGGCGCCGCGGCGAGTCGCGCAGCGGGCGCCGGGAGGGGGGCGGGGAGGAAGCCGGCGCCGGAATCACAAAGCCGCGAACCCAGCCGGGCGGGGACACTCTCGTAAAACCGATGCTCTCACGACCGGCGGAAAAGGGGCTCTTGCCCTACGGTCAATTCCCAGTGGCCTCAGCATCACCCCCAATCTTTCCTGCCGGAACGAATCGTTGCCCACCACTGCTAGGGAAACTGAGGCCAGAAGTCTGAGCTAGGGTAGCTGGGGGAGGGGGGAACGGGTGCGAGTCCATTTCACCCACCAGTTCTACTCCCGCGCCTGCCACGGTCTCCCTTCTGGCCCCCAGGCCTTTCCCCGACACACGACTGGCCTGCAGCCGGGACCGGGAAGAGGGGGCGCCCTGGTGTGTGACTGACCCAGGTGTGCGGGACCCAGGTGAGTCAGAGACCCAGGTGCCTCGCAGAACTCAGCTAAGTGGTCCGGAAAGGGTCGTAAACAGAGCCTCAGGCTTGCACCTTTTGCAAAGGAATCAAGGGCCTTGGAGCCCGGGGAGGCGGTATGGCGCGGCCAGCCAGGTCCAGCTTGTTCCCGGAATACTCGGCCGGTACGGCCCGGGAGTGGGGGTTGGGGGAGGCGCCCGCCGGGAAGCCGGTCGGTCCGGCCACAGGGCTCCCGCTGTACAGATATTTACAATAACAATGTCGCTATTAAGGTGACAGGGCGCTTGGGTCGGTTTCTCCCCACGGAATCTGGCCTCCGAGGGAGAGGGGCAGAGCTTGTCTGTGTATGCCCCGCAGGGTGTAATGTGACAGTGTTGGTGTAAGGTGTGTGTGACACCCAGTGTTAAGATGTGTGAAGCAGTAGGTTCCGTGTTTGTGACCGTGAGGCGCTGCTGTAGGTGCTTCTTACTGTGTTAGGGTGTGTGCCATCAAGGCGTGTGCTGAGACATTGGGTTGTGTTTGTGTGGGTGCAGGCGGTGGGAGCAAGTGAGACCTGTGCTCTGTGTACCTGTGCTCTGGCCAAGGAGTAGGGAACATAATTTATGTTAGGGTGTGTTCCTTAAAGAAATACGAGGATGGGGGGATTAGGTTTTGAGTGTTCATCTTGAGAACTATGGCCGTGGCACTCGTACACGAGGGCATGGGTTTGTGTTTGTGTGTCTATGTTGCCCAGTGTCACACCCGGTTGTGTTGTTGCTGTCTACGGACACAGGTTGTGTGTCCCTGCTGCTGATCGTGCAGACGCCGAAGCAGATTCTAAGCTGGTGACGGTGCCCCATTGGGCGCTGGTGTGCGGGAGGTATGTCTGTGTTCACATATGTTCGGATGTATGTATGCGTGTGTATGTCTGGTACGGTCCTCCAGGTGCCCGCGGAGAGCTGGAAGCGCCTGAGTGAGCTGAGCTAGTCGCCCAACAAGTGTGTGTGTGTGTTTGTGTGTGTGTTGGGGATAAGGTTTCTTGCTAGCTTCATCCTCGGGGAGCCCCCCACCAAACTGAGGGCCGCGCGCTTCCCTAAAACCATTTCCATCTCGCGCGCTCCTGGAGTCTCATCCCAGCCGCTCCAAGGCGCGCCCGAGTGCGCGACACCGGGATTGGGGTCCGGCTCGGTACCCCCTCCCCTCTCTCGGTTTCTTGTAGTGGACCTTGAGGCCAGGGTGCCCGGCTGCAACCCCCACTTGGTGTTCCAGCAGCCCCCACCTCGGCCCCCGCGCGCTGGGCATGGACTGGATCCCCTCGGCCTCGCTCCGCTGAGCGCCCCTCCCTCAGCTCCCGCCGGCCATGGCCGCTCCGGGCCCCGAGCCTCTGCCGCCTCCACCGCCTCCGGATCCTTACCCGCCTCGGGGAAGCACCGGCCGCCCGCCCCGCTGTCCATGAGCCGCTGCCGGCCCCGGCCCGGGCTGCGGCTCCGCACGGCTGGGGCTGGCTCTGCGGTTCGGGTTCCGGCTCCGGCTGACTCTGGGCACAGCAGCCCGGCGGCTTCGCGTCCGCGCCGCGCTCCCGCTCCCGGAGTGTGTGAGGCGGCAGCGGCGGCGGCGGCGGCGGCGGCGGCGGCGGAGCCAGCAGCGAGCGGAGCGCACAGCCCGGCCCGCCCCCTCCCTCCCCCTCCCTCCTGGCCCGCCCGCCTGCCTCCCGCCCGCCTCTCCGCACCCCCTCCGGCCGGGAGGTGGAGCTCGGGACTGCTCTGGTCCCGCTGGGAGGGGACCCTGAGCGCCGTTCCCTAAAGCCGGGACCCCCTCCCCATTGCCATCTCCCGATTGCCGGAGGCCTGGGTACATAGGTTTACTCCTCCGCTCTTCGCCTAACACTTATCCCACCCAAGCCTGCATCTAGGACCCCCTCCCGAATTCCCCTCCTTGCCTCACTCAAACACCTGTCCCCCACTCTGCATCCCTGGAAGTCGAGGCCGAGGAAGTGTCTCCCCTAGCGCTTTCTTCCCTGGGCACTTCCCCTTCAGATCCACGGTCTTCCCGCCCAGACCCCCGAATCTCCCCATTTGGCCCTCCCTTCCCACTGCGCTCCGGGGAAGTCCGCCCCTCCCCCCTCCTACCGAAGCCGCAGAGCGGTCAGCCTCGGTGGCCGCAGCAAGCCATGGGGGTGGGGCTATAGAGGGGACCGTGGGAGGCGGAAAGTGATGGGACCTGGGGGCTCTAGGTTGAGGATGAGGAAAATATACAAGTATGAGGATGAAGTGGCGTGCCGGAGGAGCTCAGGCTATTCGAGGGTCGCCTGATCACTTGCCCCCTGGGGTTGTGTACAGCTATGGCCACACACATTTTACCGGTGACATACACACATTCACACCAAGTCACACGGGTCCCTACCCCGCGAGGCCGCATAGTGTCATGGCCTGTGTCACACGCCCTCACAGTGCCACACGCTCTCTGTCACACTCACACTCAACGAGTCACACACGATGTCACACGCAGTGTCTCACACACTCCAATACTCGGTTTCTCCCTCTCAGTTCTGGCTCTCTGGCGCCATCTAGGGGTCCCTGAGCAGCTTGGGAAATACCTCCGGCGCTCCGGGTTTGGCACCCTAGGCTGCCAAGTGCCCCAATTCAATAGGACCTCCTGCCTGCCTCCTCTTAATAGGCCCAGGAAGGGTGTTCTAGGTCATAAGAATGAGGAAGGCTGACTCTAGCAAGGCTTGGTGCTGCTTATGGAAAGGCATCTTTATGACCGGTCTCTGGGTCTCTTTGCCTTAACTTCCTAATTTCTCATTCCTGTTCCTATCCTACCCATTTCCCCATCCCTACCATTCTTCTATCCCTTGTCTCTTTTCTCTGATTCCTCCTCTTCCCAGCTCTGACCTCTCTTCCTCTTCAGGGTAAGGGTGGAATTTGTGGCCACCTAAGGAAGCAAGCAAGGACTGTCCAAAATCTCTCCTAGAGCAGCAACTGCCCCCACACCCACACCCAACTGGACTCCCTTTCTGGTCTGTACCCTACACTCTGACCCTCAGCTCCTGCCTTCAGCTCAGGAACCCAAGTTTGGAGTCTCTGGATGGGAGGTGGGATCAGCTGGTGAAAGGAGGATCTGTCCTCTAAGTAACGTCTGTCTCTTGAAAAGCCCATACTCATCCCATCATTGAGGACAGCTCCAAAGAGGGAATCAGTGGCCTAGAGAGAAGAAATCTTCCACAGGGAGCTGCCCCAGTCTCCCTGCCCCCAGTGTTTGTCTGCTGCCCACTGCAGCAAACCCTCCCCAGGCTGCTTGCTGGGAGCCATTCAAAGGCTCCTCTGTTCTCCTCCCTTGCTCTGGGCTGAGCAAGATCGGCAGCCACAGAGCTGGGCAGGAAATGCTAATCTCCCAGATGTTCTCCTCCATCCTCCCTGATCCACTACCATCAAACCCAAATCCTGCACCAAGTGGTTGGAGCAGAACTGGGCCAGGGCAATACCACCAGGGTGTGTCTACACTTCTTCCCTGCTTTCCATCCCCTCCTACTCCAACTGCCAGGCTGTTCTGTGGGGATCTGAGTTGGGTCAATGTAGGTATGGGTACTTTGGAATGTTTTCCCTGAGGAGGGCAGTCAAGAGGGCTGGGGCTGGGAGGAAGAATAAGGGAAGTGGCATTTGTACATGAGAGAAGCCAGGCCTTGTACCGAACTGGAAGAAGTATTGGTTGGCAAGTGGAGCATGGGGGGAGGCTCCTGAAACCGATAGTGACTGAGATTCCAGTAGGGACTGTGTCTAGGGAATGGAGGCTGGATTGGTGCTAGGTATGGGAGTTGTTGGATTTGCTTTCTGTGATATATGGGTACCTGGATTGGCTTGTAGATAGAGGACTGAGATGCTTTAGGGCCTGCAACTGTAACCAAAATCATAATGGCCTCTGATTATAGCTGGGACACTGTTGTGATATTGTGATGCTGGTGTGCCTAGGTATAGCCAGAAAATCAGATTACCTGAAATGATGTTGTCAAGCTGTGAGTGTGTGTGTGTTTATATTTTATGCATATGTACATGTTGAGGAAACCTGTAAGTGAAATGCTATTGGGCCTGAAGCTATAGATATAAGGCTGGCCCACCTGAGGTTGGCTATAGATGAGAAGCTGTTATGATAAAGGTGGGGGTTCTAGCTGGATCCAATGCTTAGGTCCTAGGAGATAGAAAGCTGTTGCTAGGAGCCTGTACCTGAGAAGCAGGCTGTTATCTGGGATGAGAACGGAGCTTCTGTTGTATATAGGACTGTAGCTGGGATGCTATTGGTCCTGAAGCTATAGCTATGATGATAGCATATTGGGGATTGGCTATAGCTAAGATGCTGTTGCCCAGGACTGTGGCTGGGCTGTTCTTGGGTGCAGAACTCTAGCTGGGATGCTGTTATGCCTGCAGCTATAACTCTGAAGCTCGGTTGTAGCTGGGAGGCCATTTCCTGGTAATATAGCTGGACCACTGTTGTGTGGGGGCCATAGCTGAGAATCCGTTGTCTAGGAGATGAGAAGCTGTTCCTTGAGATGCTGTTCTGGGAGGCAGGCAGCTACCTGATATGGGAGCTGATCTGCTGTTGGAGCTGATCTACAGTTGTGCTTAGGATGGTCCCCAAGTGGCTGTTGCTGGGCCTGTGACTGGCTGGGTGGGGGAAGGTGAGTGAGTCCTGCCTCGAGGTCTGGGAGATGCCAGGAGCCCCAGGCTGGGTGGGGGCTGCTGCTCTGGGGAGGCCTCAGCAGCTGCTCTGCTGTAGAGCTGGGAAGCCTGTTTTCATTACTGTTTTAACTCTTTTTTTAACCTTGTTTTTCTCTCGGCTGCACTTTCGCTCACTCATTAATTTTGGTATTTTTCTCACGGTGCCTCAGCCCCTGTCACGGCTGCCATGGCAACAGGAGGCAGTGTGCACAGTGCCAAAATATCTGATCAAAAAATAACCAAAATAAGCAAACACCAAGACAGCTATGCTGGGGGCTATGGCCAAAGGAGAAGCAATGGCTCA